CACACACACACACACACACACAGATTTCAAACACACAGTCAAAAGCCTTGCTGACAACAGCCTGATGACTCGTACACTCACCGGGGATTCTCCCTTCATTGCCTCCTTTAAGCAAGTAATTTTTCATCCGTTCTTCTTGTCTCATTTGTTTGAGCCCATGCACACACACACACATAGCACAGAACAGGAGAAGCGGGAGGAGGAGGAGGAGGAGGAGGAGAAAGAGGAGGAGGAGGAAGAGGGCGAGATCGGGGGGAGAGGAGGAGAAGAAGAAGAAGAAGAAGTAGAAGACGAAGAAGAAGAAGAAGAAGAAGGTGGTGGTGGTGGTGGTGATGGTGATTTGGTCTCTCTTCAAACCTTTGCAATCCGAACAGAGAGGTTTTGGAAACCGCATTCAGCTTGAACGATGGAATTGATTGGTCTTTGGCAGATGCCAATCTTGAAGTCACATCCACAAAATCTTGGGTCTGCATCTACCAGCCTCATATGCTCCTGGAGGCTGCTCATCATGCCACCAAGCTGCTCTTCCCCCCAACGCCCCCCTCCCCCCCACCCCCCCTTGAGACTCCACCCTTGTTAACCCACCACACACGCTTGCACAACAACATATGACATCATGAGGAGCCAAGGCTTTTTATAGTCAGCTCAAGTCCCAACCTTTTCTTTTTGCTTTCTGTTTTTTCCCCGCTCAACCGTTAGTTAGCGGCCACCATTTGTTACGTCCACAACCCACACCTACGTTCCATGATTTCTTCCTCACAGAAGCTGAAAGCGGAAACACAAGCAATCTGAGATATGCAGGCATTGCAGGCATTGCCAAACAGGAAGGAGTACACAGACAGACCCAGCGCATGTAGGTGAATGGTATAATCAGCTCAATGAGTTCGAATCCTGATAGAATCAGGTGGACACAATAATGGTAAAACTGTGTTGTTAAACAGACCATGAGTTCGAATCCTGATAGAATCAGGTGGACACAATAATGGGGGTAGGGGCTACCTCCTTGTAAAAAGGACTCCACAAACAGAACCAGGGGGGGGGGGGGGGGGGGGGTTGGGGTTTAACTGCTGATAAAAATCCTCCCTCGAGGAGCAACCACTGCCGTGAGTCGTGTCAGCCACGTGTCCCTTGGCCACAATGTCTCTTGGGACAGGGAGAGGACAATCCAACCCCTGCTCTGCTGCCCTGCATGTGCTGTGTCGTTGTATATATAAAAATGGGGAACCCATTTACAGTTGGAGACCCAGCCTGGACTTCTTGCCATCATCGGCCGAGTTGGAAGCGTTTTTTTTTTTTTTTTTGTGGGGGGTGGAAATTGCATTTGTACCCTGTTCAAACATTGGGAATTCATTTTATAGTATTTATACCCAGTCCCAGTGCCCAACTTGCGTCTATACCCGGGAAATGGCCTGTGGAGATTATGTCTCTGAACGGGACCCCAAGGTTGGTACCCCAAGGTTGGTACCGCCAAAAAAAACTGCAGTTACACCCGAGTACCAGAATGTTCAAATTATGTACAATACACGGGCGAATTATATGCGTAGTATTGCATACCCCCCAATTTTGCCCGCCCGGTTTCTGGGCATGACCATAATAATTTCGTGCTCCTAGACCAAGGCCCCGTGGGACCGGGGGTACAAATATAATTTGGTGCATGGGAAACGTAGGGTATTACCGTAAACCGCCACAGTGACTCCTTGTTTTGTTGCCAGACCCCAAGCCTGGGCTGGTATCCCAACCGAGACTTGACCAGGGACCGTTTTCAATTGCCCGGCGGGTTTCTGGGCATGACCATAATTTCATGCTTCTACACCGAGGCCCTTGTGGGACCGAGTACAGGTATAATTTAGTGCATGGGGAACTTCGGGTATTACCTTAACCACCACTCCTTTTTTGTCGTGGGACCCCGAGTGTGGGCCAGAGTATCCCAACCAGACTTGACCCAGAACCCTTTTCAATTTGCGTCCCGACCCGGCTGGACTTGCGCGGGGCCTTGCGCAGGGCCTGTTTCCGGAGCCTGGCTGGGGCCTACCGGTTACCTACTGGGAATTTTCTTGGTCTCTCAGCAGGAATGGTGGTTTAAACTGCCTGTACGTTTCCCCCCGTTATGGAAAAAAAAAATAAAAAAAATGCGGCTTGTATACAGGCGCAACTTTCTAAGCTCAGCCTCGGGGGCAAAATGGCTAGCAGCACCAGCCAAAAGGAGGGCCGTGCCACTTCATTCTTTTTTAGGCGCTCAGCGCATTTCCAGCCTGGGAGAAAAGTGCCTCAGAAGTACTGGTGGTTAAAGTTGGACAGGGTTTGGGTATAGATGCAAGTTGGGTGATGGGACTGGGGGTAATCAGGGGAATTCCCATCGCTAGATGAGCTAGAGATGCAATTTCCTTTTTTTTTTTTTATAGTTTCTTACCTGGGGGTACACAAAACTTGGCCTGCCCAATTGAATGCTAGTATCTCCAAAGCCCTTCATTGGTCAAAGGACCCAAACACAGCCAGTTAATTAACACCCCTATCGGAAATCTCCAGAGGTCCCCTCCTAAACCTCAGCCTCAGCATTTCACCAAATTGGCCTGCAACAGCCTCAGGTCCAGGAGATGAAATCCAAAAATAGCTTTCTCAGACGCTAAGGCGTGTGAGAAAAACAGTCGCTTCGGGACATCCATTAAAATTGGAAGGACTCAGAGAGAGAATATTAGCATGGCCCCTGCACAAGGATAAAAAAAAAAAAAAAAAGGATGACACGCATAAATCGAGAAATGGTCCACTTTTTTTTAAGGAAAAAAAAAGAAAAAAGAAAAAGAAAAAAGACCACAGCCATTTGACAGTGATGCTCACCCTTTTCCGAACCTATTCCAAAAAGAAAAAGAAAAAGAAAAAGAAAAAGAAAAAGAAAAAGAAAAAAAATCAAGACCACAGTCAGGCACTGCAAACCAAGGTATGGCAAAAGCGACCTCAGCAGAGCCTTTTCCATAACCTACCTGTGGACCCACAATTTCTTTTTACTTTTTTTTTTTTTTAAATGACCCACAACTTTGAGAACGAGGACACAAGCTTCCCAATACCTTTTCCTATCAAGCCTGTAGGGATTGCACAATCATAATTTCAACAAAAAAAAATCTCCGAGAGTCACCCACGCCTTTCCCCGAACCTTTATTGGATTCATCTTTTTTTTTTTAATGATGAGAACAAAATTCTGAATCTTCTCATTCTATAGATAAAAGTTTGCTCAAGTAAGTCTTCAATGAATTTAATGAAAGATTTTTAGTAACAGTTAATTAATTAATACAACGGAATCCAAATAGATGATGAAGACTATTAAAATAGATTAGATTCTATCTATTATTATAGATTGTACCTGCAGCATCTTAATCTTGTACTGAAAATTTGTGCACCTCTCAAATGTTATCCATGAAGCAGAAACAAAAAAACTGGCAAAAAAAAATCCCATGAAGTCCTAAATGAGAGAGAGAGAGAGAGAGAGAGAGAGAGATGGCGGTCCAGTTTGAATTAAACTGAACCACACTTGGCGTCTTCCACTGAACTGAACCGTAGATGGATAAAAGTCTTAAGGCCTCGTGGTACAGGTCGAACAGGCGGGGACCACTTCCGCCAACGGCAAAAAAAAATGGGGTGCAACCGTGCAAGTTTCTTACGCAGAGAAATGTGGTTTGGTTTCTAAGTTTTTCGTGCTGAAATTTCAGACATTAGTCTCTCGACAATCGTCGACTTGAACTGAACGATGCCGATGGTAATCCATGGCGATGGCGATGGTAAGAAGACGATGGCGATGGCGAGAAGACGACGGCGATGGCGATGGCGAGAAGACGATGGACCATGCAAGGTCGCCTGCTCGATCGCCATACGCAAATGATGGCGGATTTGAAGTATACATGTGTGGATGTGGTATGGTACGCAGCCCATGTGGCAACGAATCTCGAAGAGATCAGACGAATGGTACACACAACCACACCAAAAGAAGAAAAGAGATCAGCCACACGTGTG